GTATGTCTCAAAACAGCTAGTCGCGGTGGACGTCCGTGAGGACACCCAGCCTTTGACCCCATGCCCATTGCCCCTTTCCCCCAAACCTTCAGGATCTTTTCCAGCTGCTTCTGCGTGTCTACCACGATGACGTTGGCACGGCAGTCATGGGCGATGTACTGGCAAGCCTCAGGGGAGCTGGTTGTGTAGATGCCAGTGACGATGCCACTGGAGGAGACCCGAGAGGATTTGTGTCTTTGCAGGTGCACAGGGCCACTCCCTCGCCCCGCCCCACAACCCATATCCCCCAGCCCCAGAGTTCCATGACCCCAACAGTCAGGGTTGCCATGCCATCTCAGCCCAAGAAGGCCCCAGGGCACAGAGGGCATATTGGAGAGCAAGTAGGGGGCCCCCTAAAAAGAGGTAATGGCTTCTCTGTCCATCTCCAACCCACTGGAGACCCTATCCCTACCCCGGCCACTCACCCTGCAAATACTGTGCCCACTGCTGAGAAGAACCACTCCGGGGAGTTGAAGCCAAGGATGGCCACACTGTGGGCCCGCTCCAGGCCGAGCTCCAGGCCAAAGACAGAAAGACCAGGTCAGCCAAGCAGGGATGGGACCTCTCCCTCCCCCAGGCCTACCACCCAGACTCAGGGGACCCTGCAGGCCCATCTCAGCAACTGCTGCTCCAGGGTCGACCCAGTCAGAGAATTCTCTGGGGGATCAGTCACTCAGTAGCCCTTGCTGCTCCCGGCTCCTAGACTAGCACACCAGGCTTCCCAGCCCACCTTGAATGTGATAACAAATGAAAAGCTCGTGTCAAGTGCCTGGCACATGGTAAAGGCTCAGTAAGTATAAAATTCTCAGTACAGGGCCCAGCACATAGCATTAGCTCAATAAGCGGTGGTGGTTTGTACAGTTATTATTTCTAGGGGCCTTGTCTGGTGGGCAGGTCCCCCAGGCCTACCACCCAGACTCAGGGGACCCTGCAGGCCCATCTCAGCAACTGCTGCTCTAGGGTCAACCCAGTCAGAGAATTCTCTGGGGGATCAGTCACTCAGTAGCCCTTGCTGCTCCTGGCTCCTAGACTAGCACACCAGGCTTCCCAGCCCACCCTGAATGTGATAACAAATGAAAAGCTCGTGTCAAGTGCCTGGCACATGGTAAAGGCTCAGTAAGTATAAAATTCTCAGTACAGGGCCCAGCACATAGCATTAGCTCAATAAGTGGTGGTGGTTTGTACAGTTATTATTTCTAGGGGCCTTGTCTGGTGGGCAGGCGGAGAGGAGGCCTGCGAGGGCCTGGAGCAGGAAGGAAGGCCTGGGGAAGGGAAAGACCACGCCTCAAGGGGCCCCCTCACCTTCAGGAAGCCCTTGGCAGCTTTGCGGGCAAGCAGGTAGTACTGGAAGTAGGAGATGTGCTCCCACTTGTCCTGGCGCTTGAAGCCCAGGGCGCTGAGGTCCCCATACTTGTCCAGAGCCTTGGAGAACATCCGATGTACAGTGCAGGGAAGCTGTGGGCAGCTGGGGTCTATGCGCAGACGGACCCGTCCATCAGCCTGAGTAGTCCACAGCGCCTTCTCTGGAGCGGGGGGAGACCACAGTTTGGATTGTGCCACCCTGAGGTTGTCCCCAGGAGACCCTAGCCCTGCCCCAGGCAGAGCTCCTAGCACTGCTGATGCTGGCAAGCCAGGGCCTGGGGTAGGCTGGGAGGCTGCCTGGAGGAGGAGGTCTGACTCAGCCTTTAAGGATGAGCATAGCTTAGGGATGCAGCAGGCAAGAGGAGAGGAAATAGCTGGACAGGAGGAGGAGGTGCTAGAGACACTGAGGCCCCTAGACCTTTGATCCAAGCTGGAATTTGCCTCCTGAGAATGGGCAGTCAGGAGTGGACTTGGGCTGCCTCAGAACAGTAGGACTGTCAGCTCTCCAGCTGCCTTCAGGGTTTCCACCCTTCCCCTTCCTCCTGTAAATGGGCTGGGGACAGACCCAATTGGACAGAAGGTCAAAGCATCAAAAAGAGTGACCCCCCTGAGGATCTGGAGGAGATTGAAAACCCCCCGTTTCTGATCTCCAGCTTGAAAAATCTGGTTTACTCAGGTGGTTAGAGTGCATTACAACACCAAGATCACGGTTTCGGATCCTCAGGCCAGCCAGCTGCCAAAAAAAAAAAAAAAAAAAAAGGAAGAAAAGTCTCTCAGTCCCAGAAAATAACAACAGCCTTTGTTCACCCTCCCTCACACGGGGCATTGCTCAATCTTCACAGCACAGGTTCTGACAGCCCCTCTCAGTCAGGCAGCTGCAGCTCAGACAGGTTCAGTCATTTTCCCAAGGTCACACATCAGGGAAGTGGCAGAGTCAGGATTTGAACTCCAGTGTGCCTGATGCCACAGCTTGCACTTGGGACACTGTCAGGGGCACCAGCCAGCCTTTAAGGGTCAGGCAGCTTACTCTGTGTGGTGGGTGGGGACAGAGACTTACCACTTAGTATGCGAGACTTTGGCAAGCCACTTAACCACTGAGTCTGCTTCCTCAGGGGAAAGGTGAGGATTCTGTCCTTAGGGTGAATACGAGGATAGACAGAAATAGGGTAGATGAAAGAGCCTTGGCATGTTAGTGCTCAGTAAACGCACGCTTTCCCTCTTCCTCACTTTTCCAAGTTCTCCAAATTGTTTGCAAAGGAAGCTTGGACAAGTGGTCTGGACACTTTGGGCACTGTGGAGCCTCCTTCCCCTGGGGCAAGCGTGGTCACTCTAAGAAGATGACTGAGGGAGTGAGGATGGTCCTGCATGACTCGGGCAGCACTGCCACCAGCTAGTCAGGCCCACCTTGTTGGTTGTTCTTCTTGGAGGTGGCCCCAACAAGGTGCCCTGTCACCAATCCTTCCAGAGGTGGACAGACAGACTGGATGACCTTGTCCCTCCCCTCTGACACTCGTAGGTTGCAGAAAGAGGTACAGATCTTGGGGCTGCGACAGGACAGTCCTTGCCCTGTGGAGGGCTCAGAGTCCACCAATCCTTCCAGAGGTGGACAGACAGACTGGATGACCTTGTCCCTCCCCTCTGACACTCTTAGGTTGCCGAAAGAGGTACAGATCTTGGGGCTGCGACAGGACAGTCCTTGCCCTGTGGAGGGCTCAGAGTCGGGGACCATGGGACATATCCAGACCCACACAGGAGAAGGGAATATATGAAGCAGGGGACATGGCAGCCTGCAGGAAATGCAGGTTGGGGAAGGGGACAGGCCAAGATCATGCTGGCTGGCATCCACTCACCCTTCCCAAGACGGGAGCCCCCGTAACTGGCCACTGCCAGAGCCCTGTGCCCTCGGGTAGAAGCATTAGCCAAGGGCCGCTGAGCCCCCTCCAGTCTCTCTTCAGGCTTCTCCAACCCTTCCCCCATGTCTCGGGACCCCACCCTGGCAGACCCAATGATCAGCCTCTTCAGAGTCTCCAATCCTGCATTTTGCCAAAGTCCATTCATGGAGCAGACAGGTGAAAAGAGGACAGGCTGGGGAGTCTGGTAAACCTGGGGTTGAAACTGTGATCCTGCCACTCCCTGCTGTGTGACCGTGACAAGTCGTGCTCCTCTCAGCTGCATCTAGTCATCTGAAAGTGTGAGGGGCTGGTGAGGACGTGGAGAAGCCGGGGCCCTCACACAGTGCTAGTGGGAAGCTAAGATGGGACAGCTATGCACGAAAACAGCTTAGCAGTTTCTTAAAGAGTTAAACAGGACCATTTGACCCAGCAATTCCACTCTTAGATATCTACCCAAGAGAAATGAAATCACACATCTCTATGAGCACTTTTATGTGGATGTTGATAGCAGCATTATTTATAATAGTCAGTGAATGGAAACAACCCAAACGTCTATAGACTGGTGAATGAAAAACAATGTGCTATATCCATACAATGGTACTAGCCTGTACTAGTCCAGCCTTAACAAGGTACTGATACGGGCTGCAACATGGATACAATCAAAAAGGTGTTCAGTGAAAGAAGCCAGATGCAAAAATACCACATATTGTATTATTCCATTTATATGAAATGTCCAGAAAAGGCAGAAAGCAGATTAGTGGTTGCCTGGGGCCAAGGGTGGGAATGGTGAGTGACCACAAAACAGGCACAAAGGACCTTGTGGGGGTAATAGAAGTGTTCTAAAATTGGATTGTGCTGATGTTTGTGCAACTCTGTAAATTTGCTAAAAATCACAACAAAAAAAGAAAATACAGGCTAATATTCCTGATTAACACAGATGCAAAAATCCTCAACAAAATACTAGCAAACCAAATTCAACAGCATACTAAAAAGATCATTCACTATGATCAAGTGGTATTCATTGCAGGGATACAAGGATGGTTTAACACACACAGATCAATAAACGTAATACACTACATTCACAGAAAGAAATAGACACAGAAAAAGCATATGACAAAATCCAACATTTCTTCAGGATAAAAACTCTCAACAAATTAGGTATAGAAGGTACACACCTCAATAGAAAAAGGCCATATGTGACAAATCACAGCTAAAAAGATACTAAATAGGGAAAAGTTAAATGCTTTTCCTCCAAGATCTGGACAAGACAAGGTTGCCCACTTTCACCAGTACTGTTCAGCATAGTGCTGGAAGTCCGAGCCTAGAAAGAAATGAACAGCATCCTTTTAAAGGAAGAAGTCGAATTGCCTCTGTTTGCAGATGACATGCTCTTACATATAGAAAATTCTAAAAACTTCACAAGAAACTATTAGAAATAATAAATGAATTCAGTAAAGTTGCAGGATACAAAATCAACATACAAAAATCAGTAGCATTTCTGTATGCCAATAGTGAACTATCTGAAAAAGAAATCAAGAAAACTATCCCATTTACAATAGCTACAAAAAAAAAAAAAAAAAAAGATACCTAGGAATAAATTTAGCCAATGAGTTGAAGGATCTTTACACTGAAAATTATAAAACGTTGATGAAAGAAATTGAGGAGGACACAAATAAATAGAAAGATATCCTGTGTTCATGGATTAGAAGAATTAATATGCGGGTACTTCAAAAAGTTCATGGAAAAATAAAATTAAAAGATAACGTGAATCTTTCCATGAACTTTTTGAAGTACCCTAGTATTGTTAAAATGCCCATACTAACCAAAGTCATCTACAGATTCAATGCACTCACTATCAAAACACCCATGAAACTCTTCACAGAAGTAGAACAACAATCCTAAAACTCATATGGAACCACAAAAGACCTCAAATAGCCAAAGCAACTTGAGAAAACAAACAAAAAACCCCATCAAACCAAAGCTGGAAGCAGCATACCACCTGATTTCAAAATATACTACAAAGAAAGCTATAGTAACCAAAACAGCATGGTTTTGGCATAAAAACAGACACATAAACCAATAGAACGGAATGGAGAGCCCAGTAGTAAATCCACGCATCTACAGCTGACTGATTTTCAATAGAGGTGCCAAAAATACTCATTGGGGAAAGGACAGTCTCTTCAATAAATTTAATATCCACATGCAGAAAAATGAAACTGGACTCCCATCTTTCACCAGATACAAAAATCAACTCAAAATGTATTAAGGACTTAAATGTAAGACCTGAAACTGTGAAACTTTAGAAGAAAACATAATAGAAACACTTTATGACATTGGCCTGAGCAAGGATTTTTTTGGATGAGACCTCAAAAGCACAGGCAGCAAAAGCAAAAATAGACAAGTGGGATTACGTCAAACCCAAAAGCTTCTGCACAACAAAGGAAACAATCAGCAGAGTGAAGAAACAACCTACAGGGTGGGAGAATATATTTGCAAACTATACATCAGACGAGAGGCTAATATCCAGAATATATAAGCATAAGGAACTCAAACAACTCAATAGCAAAACAACCCACAAATAACCTGATTTTTTTTTTTTTTGTCTTTTGTCTTTTTCCGTGTCCGGCAACGGATCGCAACCCTCAGTGTTGCCCCCGTACCGGACCGGGGACCGGCAACGGGATCGCAACCCTCGGTGTGGCTCCCACGCCTCGCTCAGCCAGTGAGCGGGAACCGGTCTGTATGTGGGATCCGACCCCTCGGGTGGGAGCGCTGCCGCGCTTCCCAAGCGGCACACTATCCAGTGCGCCACCGGGCCGGCCCCTAACCTGATTTTAAAAATGTTTTGTCTTTTGTCTTTTTCCGTGTCCGGCAACGGATCCCAACCCTCAGTGTTGCCCCCGTACCGGACCGGGGACCGGCAACGGGATCGCAACCCTCGGTGTGGCTCCCACGCCTCGCTCAGCCAGTGAGCGGGAACCGGTCTGTATGTGGGATCCGACCCCTCGGGTGGGAGCGCTGCCGCGCTTCCCAAGCGGCACACTATCCAGTGCGCCACCGGGCCGGCCCATAACCTGATTTTAAAAATGGGCAAAAGACCTTAATAGACATTTCTCAAAAAAAGACATACAAATGGGCAACAGGTGTATGAAAAAATGCTCAACATCACTAATTATCAGGGAATGCAAATCAAAACCACATTGAGATATCACCTCATACCTGTTAGGATGGCTATTACCAGAAAGACAAAAGGTAAATGGTGGTGAGAA